GTGGCTGCCCATACGTATACTAAAAATTCCATGGACGGCTATGCTGATAAATGTGGCAGTCCTTGAGAGAGCAAATGCTGCTCGCGAGCTGCTTGATAACATCAAATGTAGAAAGATAGCCTATTTTGGACAGTAGTAAGGGGAGACCGATATAATATTCTTCAACTTATTATGATGGGTAAAATCGAAGGACGCAGAGGAATTAGTAGAAAGTAGGCCCCTTGGTTAAAGAATATCAGAGACTGGACAGGAATAAAGAAAGCTGAGCAACTCTTTAGAATATCGCGAGACAGAGACAGTTTCGCCATGTTAATCGCCAACGTCAAGGAGACTTGATAGCGCACGTTAAGAAGAAGAAGTTTACATTTCTCTGTCTTATGGCTCTACGTCAAACTTCAAATGCTGTTCCATGTTTATCTATTTTTTACAGTAGATGAGGAAAAGTTGTTTTTCGATATTTTGTGAAAAAGTGAAAGAGGAAAGTGAAATAAACACATTATAATAATGGTGCTACAATGTTGCATTTGCAAAAAAAACCAAATATTTACATCCCGATCTCTTATTTCATTTGTAAGTAATGTCTATTTACATTATGTAAGATGAGGAACTGAGGAAGTGTATTTGTTTACGTTTTAAAACATGTCTTTCATAGTCGTACCATTGGGTTTATTTATGCTCATTATTGTATTGAATAAGATATGAGTTCATAAAATTAGTAGACATTTTTAAATTGTAAATAGACATCATCTGATTAAAAAAGATCTGTTTAGTACCTTTATAATTTGATATTTCTCATGGACACAAATAAATTAGTGAAATGAATAAAACTCATTTATTTTTCTATGTAGATTTCCAAATAATATTGACGATCGAACTATTTGGGTAGCAAATTTAGGAGAAAACATAAACATTTTTTATTGTAGTACTATTTTAATACCTATTAAAAAATTAACTTGAATTCAACTATATTTTATTGTACTAATTTTAAAGCAAATAAAATTGTATTTTAATTTTTCTATAAAGACGTGATTTGTTAATAGTTAAACTCTCGTTTTTTTTTTTGAACGTGTTTTTATACATTATTACTACTTACAATTTTAAAGTCTGAATAATTATCCCCGCGAGTAAAAATTCAAGGACGCTTATGCTCATTGAGGAAGCATCACATTCTATCGAAGCTTCAAAACATTGTGTGTTAAAGGTATCTTATTGCTGTCTCCATCTGTGTTTATACGTCTATGGGTGTATCTGAGTTAATTGAAACTTAAGTAGTATGTAGTATTTTATGTATGTCACTTGATCATATTATGGTTGTTTATTGTAGCGACGAAATTTAGTTTAAAAATTCTATCCAATTATATTGAGCCAGATTAAAAATTGATACGGATGAAGTGAAAATAAAAGAAGATGTGACAAATTTTATAAAAATACACCTAACGGAAGAAGTAAATAACAGAAAGAGCAATAAAACCCCGCCAGAAGACTTGATTTGTACAAACAAAAGAACACATAGAACAAATAGAATTATACAAAAAAACGAGTCAGCTGAAAAAGCTAAAGGGTAAAGGATAAGGTATTAATAAGTGATCTATCAACCAAAGAAAGCAAAAAGAGAAAAGACATAACCGAAAAATGTAAAAAACTCAGTGAAAATGGTAAGACGGTAAAAGTAGACCATAGTAGACAGATAGGAATGGAGATGGGCTAAGTAAATCATTTTTAAAAATATTGAGATGCAAAGAAACGGAGAGTAGCGGAGAACGAACAGAACCGAAAAAACGGAGACAAGTAGCAAAAACAAGGAATATGATAAAGGCAAAACCGACAGAACCCTGGCTATTGCAATGGATTCGAATAAATTAAATCAGAGAACGAAAAGCATAATACATATATACTTATCAAGTCATAAAAAATGGGCATATCAGTTGAAAAATTGGAGTGTAGGACATAAAGAGCGTAAATGGTAAAAAAATAGAACCAGCATAGGAGTTTAAGACTGCATAATTAAGTATACTAGCAATATTGTAGCCTCTAAAACCATTTTTGAATGGTGCTAAAAAGGTCACCAATGAAGACACTGCGGACGACAGCCAGATGGTTAGTGGGGAGTGAGTCGTGAGTTCGAAACTAGCTTTTGGAACAGGGAATGGGTCTAACGAACGAAATAAGTAAAGATAGGACATGATAAGACATATTAGAAAAGATGGAGAAATAAACAAAAAAATAAAGGGTCAAATTATTAAAGAAAGATAAGATAGAAAAAGGGCGCCACTTAACTTTTAAGGGTTAAAGGGAAAAGTTAAAAGAACCTTAGACACGAGAAGAGATAAGGAAAGATATTTAGGTTCTGAGACCAAATCCAACGAAAGATATCACCAGTTAATAATTAAATAAATTTTGTCAACACACTACATAAACAATGCACTACATAAACAATTAGGTGGACTTTGTCCACCATCTTACCTATGAAACTTAATCAGCTTGATCTTTCTCATGTTCTAAGGTATAATAATAATTTAATACCATAAGCAAATATTCAGAGGTATTATTTTATCACTCGAAAAATACGACTCCTGGATAAAACAAAACAATATATTCAACAACACAATTAAATAGGCAGCTAAATCTAAACACAAGTACAAAAAATGCACCATCAATTAACAAATGATTGTATACATATGGAAATAAACAGTATTATGATCAATAAATACCTTTACAGATACAATATAATAAAATCATACACAAATTAAATTATCAACGAAGAGAGCCTGGTAGTATTTAAACAATTCAACCAAAGCTAGTTAAAGAAATCTCTCTTTGCTGTTTATGTGCTTATCTCGAGATAATGGGTCCAGTAAATTTAAAAATGGATAGCAGTTATAGCAAATAAAAAAAATTAATTAAATATAAATTCAAAAGAATACAAAAAGATTACAACAATTCTGTAGTATAAAAATGACACCAACCCGCACTTGGTTGTAAGTTAAATATCTGTCTCGCACTGTTTTTAGTTTAATTAACTTCTTACTGAATACTGAATGTTCGTAATTATTATTTGTAAGAAGTTTTGAATAATTGATTGAAAGTTCGTATAAAAGAATTAAATATTCTTTTTATTGAATTGATAAATTGGTAGTTAATCGTAACTACAGGTGAAGAAATGGTTGACGCAGATTCGTCCAGGATTGGGTAATATAATTACAATAATATTTGCCCAGATAATTGAAGGTAATATGATTACGATAACTTACAAATAATTTTGATGACTGCTGCACTGTCTGCATTTCACCGATTCTACTATACTTTACTAGTATCAAGCACTGACGTTAATCAAAATCAAGGTACTTTATACAATAGTTAATCTAATATGGTATTATATTAAGATATTTTAAAGATTTAAGTGTATACACTCTTAAAGAAAACATTCACAGAAAAGAGTAAGATAAGCAAGCATCTTTACTTGAAGACTGTCCTGCCCAGAGTCATTTTCTTCCTTACAAAATTAAACAAGCTTCAAAAAAAAAAGTGGGATATCCCACACATAAAAATAAAAACTTGCCTAAAAGAAAGCCAGGCTGTTTCTATTTCTAGGAAGACACCTGAACATAGAAAGGTTCTAGTAAAGTAACGAGGCTCTTGTAGTTGGGAACCGTGAGAAAAGATAGAACCTTTTAAATTAGGTTTTTTCAGAAAGATAATGTGTTCACCAAAGTTATCAAAAAGGACCCGCCTCGAACCGAAAAAGGTAAACAAAGCTCTACCATAAAATATTCTTACTTCGGCTTTTTTTGATGAGTACAATTTATCCGTACTTTAAGAACTCCGTGATAGTCAGTATGTTCCAATAAAATTTGCGGATACAGCCATAGGCGTATCAGCAACAGGGGTAAAGGCAATGAAAATTATTTACTATTTTAATTATAAAGAAATATTACAATATCAAATTAGGTATACCAAGAACAAAGAACAACGGTAGTAAAAGTGGAAGAAAATCATATATTGTAAGTGCATATTGCATAATACATAAAACAATAATAAGGTTGAATGTTCGAATAATTAAACTTTGACGGTATACAAGGCAACTATCGAACACGGTGATTAATTTAATCTTGCCCAAGTACTTTCGATCAATAGATCATCTTCAGGGCATCTGAAATAAGCCAAGAAACGTTTTTTATAAAAAGGAAAATTAATTCACTTGGATAAAAAACTCCAAGTTTATGGTTGAAAAATTTTTATATGTGATTAACGTTTATAGACTTACTTCCAATTTGGGTTGTATAGAAGCCCGAGACAGAATGGACCGGGAGCCCATTCTGTCTCGGGCTTCTATACAACATGTAGCTTCTCCTTTTCAAAACATTTAAAGTGTTTGTTTGTCTTTGTGTATTGTATTTTGTATTGTTATGTCCAAATTTACATTTATGACATTCTACTCATGTCGGATAGACCACAACTGACGAAGTAAGTCTATAAACGTTTATTACATATAAATTTTTTCAACCATAAATTTGGAGTTTTTTATCCAAGTGAATTATATGTGAATTTTTTATAAAAAACGTTTCTTGGCTTATTTCAGATGCCCCTGAAGATGATCTATTGATCGAAAGTACTTGGGCAAGATTAAATTAATCACCGTGTTCGATAGTTGCCTTGTATACCGTCAAAGTTTAATACATAAGAGACTGGAAAAACAGATAGCGCATCAGAGATGGATTGGGCATGCAATCAAAAGGTAAAAATGTGTAACAGTGGAAAAAAGTATTTGGTAGGAGATGATCAGTGAGACGACGTTCTAGAGATAGAACGAATATTGAGTAGTTGGACGGGAAGCGGTTTAAAATCTATAAACGATATATAGGAGTTACTAGAGAGAGAACTGAATGGGGAATGTTCTAAAAAAGGCTTTACTCATAAACCACTGTAGTTTCAATGATGAGGTTGACAATAATATTATAAAGTAGTAAAAAAGAAAAACAAAAATACTTTATTTATTTTTTATTAATACTCAACATAATTACAATTGATATAAATATAAGAAGATTACAAAAATCCGTTTTTGTACAAATGATTTAGCAGTGATAGAACCGGTTTCTTAAAGTTGGCGGAATCTGTATCCAATATTGCATTGTTTAGAATATCTCTTGGTGCTGAACCGTCCATTATTTCTACTATGTGGCGAACCTAGAAAACATCAAATATATTAATTACTATTAAACTGGGAATAAGCCACAATTAAAGATAAAAATACGTTTATTGACGTTTCAATTTCCACTTCGGAAATCGTTCTCAAAATACAAACAGTAAATTAAACAAATTTTGTTTTTTGTTACATAGTGAAAAATTCTTCTAATAATTTAATTTTATCTGACTCATTTATATTGACAATTCAGACATACATTATGCATTTTAAAGTAGACGACTTTAAAATGATATTGCCAATATTGTTTAGTTGCGCTCCTGGGACGACTTTACTTATAAGATAGTTCATTCGATTACATGAAATCAACTTTAACTTGAGAATATCCGTCAGAAAAAAATCATAGCATGTAATTCGTCTTTAAAAAGACAAACACATGACATGACGACAGTAAAATTTTCCTGTTAGTGATTCCATAGTAAATTATGAGGGAAAACCAGGAAAAAAACCTCATAATACTTTCCCGACATTGTAAGTATTTGTTCGTGAATTTAGTTTACCTTCAACAAACATCAAAATTCTGATTTTATATGTTACGTTATTTAAAAAACATAAATGATGTATCCTCTATATGTTAATGACTTACTAATACTGGTATTTTCCTATTAATAACTTCCTCTTTCAATATTGGTAACCAGATCCTACCTACTACATTCTGCCGAGGAATTTGCGACACAATTGGCCTCATTTAGCATAATTAGAGCCGCTTCTTTGATTTTTCTTTTTTTACCATCCGTTTCTTTTAGGACTACATTTGAATTATTCCATTGAACCCTATATTCATTATCCCATGCGTGTTTACAGATTTGAGATCTATCAAATTCTTTATTTTTAATATAAGATTGATGTTCACTTATTCTAACATTTAATGGCCTTGATGATTCACCTAAATAAAACTGATCGCATTCACAAGGTATTTTATAAATGCAATTCTTTGTCCTTTCTTGTTCATTGTTAGGTTTGGTTTTGGACAAAATAGATCTCAACGTGTTTGTTGTTTTGAATGTTGTTGAAATGTTGAATTTATTTCCTATCCTTTTAAGATTTTTCTGATAGTCCTTGTATGTATTATATATATATATATATATATATATATATATATATATATATATATATATATATATATATACATATATATATATATATATATATATATATATCAACATATATATATATATATATATATATATATATATATATATATATATAGCAAAAAATACGACCGTTGATTAAATTTAAAAAATATTCAATAGTTGAATAGCAGAGGTTGTATCGGTCAATAATAGGCAAATGAAAGTCGTCAACTACTTCATTGATTTAATTGAATACGTTTCGCTTTTTGTTTTCAAAAGCATCATCAGTTCACTACAAATAAAAATAAAACGATTTAAAATATAAGTAAATAACCAAAAGGGTTCATACTTACAAAAACAATTTGTAGGTTTTTTTAAAGATGTTAAAAACACTCTACGATAACTTAACATTAAAAACTTAAAAAAAAAAACGATAGAATCGAAACAAAAAACACACAAGAAAAAACTGAAAGAGCACTATTGTTTATTTAATTTTTACCGATGGCTTCATCTCAATGTGGGTGTAAGCTCTTTCGAAGATCCAACACAATAATCTCTTGGATTGTTTTCTATCGGTTGTAGGCTGTCATATTTGCACATGTGGCATGTGCCGTACATATGTTTCTTTGGAAAGCAGTGAGGTACAATTATTAAAAAAGTTAGTAAACAGAACTGGGAGAGCCCTATTTTTCAAAAAGGAATTTTTTTTTCCTTTTTTTTCTCTTCCTCCTCGCTTGTCTTTAAAAAACAAACAAACAAACAAAAACAAAAAAAAAATATTTTAAAAATAGGGAAAGAAGAAGGGGAATGAAGTTACTATCTTGTAAGTGTTTTTTTTTATATATATTATTTGTTGTGTATGATGAAAGAGTGATATATCTGGCTCAAGTTGTGGATGTCGGTTCTTTTATTTAGGGATGATGGATGTTTAAGAATTTGACACATTTCAAGGATAGAACGCTTATGATAATTTTTTTGTTTGCACAGTATTTTGGTATTAGTGAAGTCGATACTGTGTTTGGTTGAAATGGCATGTTGTGAAAGGGCACAGGATGGTTTGGAAATCCTAATGTCGCTTTTATGGGACGTTAGTCGACCTTGAAGAGAACGGCTGGTCTGGCCAATGTAGCAGGAGTTGCACTCCGCACAGGGTACATGATAGACGACGTTAGTTTGTTCTAGAGGGGACAATGGAGTTTTGTCTTAGAAAATAACTTTCCTACGGTTCTGGTGTTTTTTTAAAGCTATTTTGACAGGTAAGTTTTGGAAAAGTTTTTAAACGAACAAGCTAATCAAACTTAAACATCCATCATCCCTAAATAAAAGAACCGACATCGACAACTTGAGCCAGATATATCACTCTCTCATCATACACAACAAATAATATATTTAAAAAAAACACTTACAAGATAGTAACTTTATTCCCCTTCTTCTTTCCCTATTTTTAAAATATTTTTTTTTTGTTTTTTTTTGTTTGTTTGTTTTTTAAAGACAAGCGAGGAGGAAGAGAAAAAAAAGGAAAAAAAAATATTCCTTTTTGAAAAATAGGGCTGTCCCCGTTCTGTTTACTAACTTTTTTAATAATTGTACCTCACTGCTTTCCAAAGAAACATATGTACGACATATGCCACATGTGCAAATATGACCTACACCGATAGAAAACAATCCAAGAGATTATGTGTTGGATCTGAAACTAACCATAGATGAGATAAAAAAATACAACTTGTTTTTGTGTGTTTGACTCTTTATTTGTTTATTTTACTAGTCATTTTAAAAAAACCTACAAATTGTTTTTGTAAGTATGAACCCTTTTGGTTATTTACTTATATTTTAAATCGTTTTATTTTTATTTGTAGTGAACTGATGATGCTTTTGAAAACAAAAAGCGAAACGTATTCAATTAAATCAATGAAGTAGTTGACGACTTTCATTTGCCTATTATTGACCGATACAACCTCTGCTATTCAACTATTGAATATTTTTTAAATATATATATATATATATATATATATTATATATATATATATATATATATATATATATATGACATTTATTACTAAAGAGATCAAAGTCTTAACATATAAATTTGTACTAATACAGAGCACATTATGATGTTAGTTTTAAAACCTTTTATACAAAAAACCAGATTTTTTTCTGAATACTCCATAACGGGTCTAAATATTTAGTAGATACCTCTTCACTTAACTGAATTACACTCCTAGCATATACCGAAAGTACGCTATGAGTAGCAAAAATTAACACAATAAAAATTATGGCAGAAGCAACTAGAACAGACCTCGTAAGAAACCAAAACCATGTGCGCATTGTAAACTGATGATCTAATAAAATAAGGAACAAAAAAGCGATGTGAATATTATACTCACATATGGATAGAAGGAAAAGAGAGCCCAAAAATTGTGCTAAATGCAAACTCAGGTTAAAAGCGCAACCAAAAAGGCTGCAAAAAAAAATGGGATATTACTGTAATGAATCGGTTTTTAAAATATCCTAAATAAAAGAAAAAACTGGAGACTGTATAAATCTTAGATTCTAACGGGGTCCTTTAACCTTGAAAAGTGTAACATACTACTACCTGAAAGATTTTTATAACCGGATATTGAGCTGTAAATATTTTACACGTGAATATTATTCACTATATGCGAAGTACAAATTTCAGATTCCAAATGCAAATATTTTATGAGATAAACCTAATAGGCTATCTAGGCAAATCACCCTCTATAGACCTATAAAAGGAGAAAGTGACACTTTGAAAATTTTAAGATTCAGTTATGCTAAGTCTTGACCTACACAAAAGATACTTACATTTTCAGGTTTTAGACACTTGGTGACAAATACTTTTAATCCGAGCAAGAATCCAAAGGCACATACTTGTTTCCATTCTTCCTTAAGTGCTGCATAGGGTAGAATTTGTTCTATATTAAGTCCCATTTGTTTTAAAGTATTACCAAGGCTAGTATGATAAGTTCGTAGAAACTTGTCGAGGTTTTCCAAGATCTCATCATCAGCGTCTGAGTAAAATGTGTAACTTAGGTCCAAGGCAGGAGAACCCTCTCCAGCCATTTGAAAATCGACAAATTTAAGGCTAGTCATATCTCCATCATTCTAAAAAAAATTTAACTTAAGTAATTTCTATTACTATGGTAATACAAATACTGGCGGTCAGATAATCTCAGTATCTCCTGACCAGAGACACATTGCAAACAATGCTATTAAACGTTATCAGAAGGCAAATTAACAATAATACAAATGGCCCTTCTCAGGATCCAACGACTAGAAAACTCTGACCTATGATCTGAATTTGTCACTTAAATATAGAAAGCATAATGCTATTTAAAGGGCCAGTATTTATCAAAATTTCTAAAAGATAACGACATCGACCTGGTCGCTCTACAGGAAACACACTGCGAAACGGAAGAACAACTACAAAAAAAGGACAATACCTGGCTTTGAACTACTGGGTGCTACGTACCATCGATCATACGGCACAGCAACGTACGTTAAACAAAACATAGAAAACGCCGTCCTTGTTTCCACCTGTACTAATAATGAAATTTACAGTGTTTTGTAAAAATTGGAAGCATCACCGTTACTAACACCTACAAACCACTAGCTATATCCTGGTCAGCCCAAGTCATCCATACACATCTGCACCAGTCAATAACGTGGAAAACTACAACAGTCACCATGAGCAGTGAAAATATAAACAACGCAACAGCAATGGGAATGCACTAGTAAAATGGACGAGGGAAGATTCATTTCAGCAGCATGCAAGAAGGAGTACAAGCCGGATATAGGTTTTGTCTATACTAATAATAACGGGCAACCTCTAGCAGTCTCTCTAAAAGTAATGGACGACTTCACACACAGTCAACACAGCCCAGTGATTTTAGAGGCAGGAACCCAGATTCCTATAAATACATCCATCCCTTGCCCACATTGGAATCGAAAGAAAGCCATGTGGGGTAGCTCTTTTGTGGAACTGGACAAAACTCTAGGCTGGATACCCCCTACCATCAGAAATTACAAAAGATTCGTTGGAGCCGTAATAAGGACATAAGCACGGCCAAAAATCATATACCAAGAGGCTACCAAACAGAATACATTCCTGGTTGGTCTGGTATCCCATAACAGCGAAAAACTGTATTAAAATTTCCTTGAAAGCTGCGATCAAAAATTAGCCGACGAACTGCTTCATAGCCTAGCTACAGCGAGACAACAAAAATAGACGGAAACTATAAAAAGTCTTAAAAAAAAAAATTTGTTAAAATCCTTTATAAAAGGTATATAAAATTGCCTCAAACGGGCTATCACAAACACATTGCAAAACGTTTTCGGATTAAACAATCCATCATCAGTGCAAACCTGAAAGTATATAACCACTTTAATTAAAAAGAACGTTAAATGAAAATGTTGACAAAGGTTAGAGCAAAATGTGGTTAATACTTAAGGTTGTACATGCTAGTAGCCACCAAAATATATGGGTAAAAACCCCTTAAAAGTTATAAATTTGACATTATTTTACATTATTAGTTTTTATAGTTTGTGATGGTTAAGTTACCGTTGGATAGGTAACATGGCGGCGTATGACTCTACATGAGTAAAATGGTCCTGAGACGAAGTGCCTACGAGGACCTGTTGATAACAACTGATTATAATGACATTGTTGACAAGTTAGGACGGATGTTGTGTCAGAGCAGTCAGTGTAACTTATGGTAGTTGTCTAAAATTGACAGATGTCAGCCTTATTTAAAATTAAAAAATTTAAAATTATAATAATGTAACAGTATCAACCATCAATATTGTAATCTGTATTGTAAATTAATCAGATAGGTATATTTGTAACATTGAAAATTGGTTTTTTTAAAAATTAATGTAGGTCAACTAGAATTTATGAAGTTTTGTGGGATTGATAGGCAACCAACTATACATGTGTAAGGATATATTTATTTTAGCTAGAATTTGTCAAAAGCCCTGTATTTGAGACATTTGGTGCAACATACAGGCCTTTGCAAAATCTCTAGCTTAAAATAAATATATCCTTACACATGTATAGTTGGTTGCCTATCAATCCCACAAAATTTCATAAATTCTAGTTGACCTACATTAATTTTTAAAAAAACCAATTTTCAATGTTACAAATATACCTATCTGATTAATTTACAATACAGATTACAATATTGATGGTTGATACTGTTACATTATTATAATTTTAAATTTTTTTAATTTTAAATAAGGCTGCCATCTGTCAATTTTAGACAACTACCATAAGTTACACTGACTGCTCTGACACAACATCCGTCCTAACTTGTCAACAATGTCATTATAATCAGTTGTTATCAACAGGTCCTCGTAGGCACTTCGTCTCAGGACCATTTTACTCATGTAGAGTCATACGCCGCCATGTTACCTATCCAACGGTAACTTAACCATCACAAACTATAAAAACTAATAATGTAAAATAATGTCAAATTTATAACTTTTAAGGGGTTTTTACCCATATATTTTGGTGGCTACTAGCATGTACAACCGTAAGTATTAACCACATTTTGCTCTAACCTTTGTCAACATTTTCATTTAACGTTCTTTTTAATTAAAGTGGTTATATACTTTCAGGTTTGCACTGATGATGGATTGTTTAATCCGAAAACGTTTTGCAATGTGTTTGTGATAGCCCGTTTGAGGCAATTTTATATACCTTTTATAAAGGATTTTAACAAATTTTTTGTGATATATGGTATACAGCCAGCTACAGGAGCTTAGTTTCCTCGTGGAATTTTAAAAAGTCTTAAATTTTAAACATCAAGTAGGCAAGCATTGGCACTGCTGAGAAAATTAGGAAGCGGAACTCCCATAACTAGGAACAAAATAACAATTAACCCAAACACTATTGCCTTACATCTGGTATCGACATCTAGGGCCTCGAAAGACAAGCCACACACAATCAAGGTAAAACGAGAGCTCAAAACTTTAAAATTCCAATCTGCAGGAACCAAATACCGAATAGAATGAAATAGAAAGTAGATTTAATGGAAAAACCAAAAGGGTCTTAAGGCAGAATATCCTTCAAAATAACACCAATGGCGAAGCTAATGGATATTGGCGAGTATCGACCAATGGGTATAACCAAAATATATATTTAAACGCACAATACGACTCTTTGCAAACAAAAACTAAGTGAACGAGTCCACATTGCTGTAATGGTTTTAAAAAAATCTGTCTGATATTTGACGGAACAAAATATTTTGAAAATTATATAAGATTATACTTAATAGCATAAACAGTGAAATATGTGACATATATTTACTTACATTGTATTTAAATAGAAAATTGTTCTTCCAGCAGTCACCATGGAGAATAACGGAATATGGACTTCTATAGGAAATTGCATCTACAAAGTACTTCTTAGTATGGTCCACATATTTCTGAAAAGCTTGCGCAAGCTCTAGTTCATTCTCTTCTTTTAAGAAGCTTTGAATTCGAATACAGCAATATTTGAAGATGTCGGCCCAAACGTCTACAAAAATCGTAATATAAATTTATGATATCAAGATTATTACAATAAATACAACATAGGGAAACTTCATTATTTTGTATGATTCATTCATTCATTCATTATCCCAAATTAATGAAGTATGAGTGTGAGAGGGTGAGTAAGCAGTCGCCAGTAATAATTTATTTTTTTAATTATAAGGACTTGACAATTGAATCGGTTAGTTGGAAAAGTTACACATTCCAAATTGGCTTTTTTTGCAGGAACCAAAACAAAATTGTTTATGTGCAAAACTAAATATGGTGCAAAAAATGTTTCAATTATGATCTTTACAATTATGAATTTGTCAAAGTTCATAACTAAAACATTTTCTGTTACATATTTAGTTTTGCAGATAAACCGCTTTATTTTTGGTTTCTGAAAAATAGCCAATTTGGAATGTGTACTTTTTTCAACTCACCGATTCAATTCAAAAATATCAAAATATTTACTCTTTAAATTATTATACCTACCTATACTTAATCTAAGGATCTCTTTTTCTAAGTAAATATTTATTATGCAAACAGTGGTTTTCAAGATATTGATCCTATAATAAGAAACATTTGATAATTCAGTATGCTCCAAGTCAAAAAAGATGCGATTAGTGAGTGTTATAAAATATATTAATTAAATATATTTGGTAAACATAAATTTATGTATGCTTTTAAGCATAAGATATCTTTGAAAATACAAAATTTTAATTTTTAATAATTTAATCTTTAATCTTTAAATATAATCAGTAAATGTCATGTATGATTGGTTGCCTACTGTTAAGTAATATATATGAAGTAATAAAAAAGAACATAGACAAGGCAATGAAGCAGTAAAAAGCATAAAACCTACTAATATTTTGGTCAAAAAATTTTGTGAACTTAAGTTTTGGTGTGAAAATTAGAATTGCATTATTAAACAAGGGAAATTCATTTTCCAAAATATATTTCGAGGTAATGAAATATAAAAAAATTATAATTTGGAAATAATTGACGGAAATGAGTTCAGTATTGATACTTCGGGACTTTTGGGGTCGATGAATACGGATATCACGGCGGTGATGGTCTTCGAGGAACATCGATTGAATATTACTATTCTTCTTCTTTAAGTTCCATCTTCTATCGAAGATTGGAAATCATCATGGCTATGCGGACTCTGTTGACTGCCGCTCTAAAAAGTTCTGCACTACTGCATTCAAACCATTCCCTTAAGTTCTTAAGCCACGAGATTCTTCGTCTTCCCACATTTAGCTTTCCTCGGATTTTGCCCTGCATAATAAGTTGTAATAATGCGTATTTTTGCCCTCTCATCACATGTCCCAAGTACTCAAGTTTTCGTTTTTTAATAGTTAATATTATTTCCGCCTCATTTCCTATCCTTCTAGTTACTTCCATGTTTGACATTCTTTGAATCCATGATATTCGTAGGATTCTTCTGTAACACCAAAATTCAAAGGCGGCCAACTTATTCAGATGAACTTGTTTTAATGTCCAAGCTTCCAAACCATAAAGAAGAGTAGAGAACACGTAACATCGAAGCATTCTCAGGCGTAGTTCTAACCTTATATCCCGACAACAAAGAAACTTTTTAAGTTTAATAAATGATGTACGTGCTATTTCAATACGTGTCTTAATTTCTTTGGTTTGGTCTACATCTGATGTTATCCATGTTCCTAAGTATTTATAGTTATTAACATTCTCAATTGAAGTATCTTCAATAGTCAATTGGATATTTGCATGTGCAGATTTAAACATGATCGTGCATTTAGTTTTCTTTAAATTTATCTTCAGTCCGTACTCATGACAGCGTTCATTAAGGCATTGCATTACGTTCTGTAAATCATTGTTGTTATCCGTAATTATTACTGTATCGTCTGCAAAACGTTAGTTGTTCAAAACTTCTCCATTGATAGATATATTACTATTAGGTAAGCCTAAATACAACAGGTCCAAGGCGGAATTAAGATTAACGGAATCAGCATAAACAACATCAGATATATATGCTGATGATATTGTCTTAATAGCAAGCAACGTACAAAAATATAATAAATGCGGTAGTTTACCACAGCAAAATGTTCGGTTTACATCTAAATGTTTCCAAAACTAAAACTTTCTTTTTAAAGACTCCTACAAACGTACATGTGTATGCCAAAGGTCAAATGATAAAACAGGTAAATTTCATAAAATATTTGGGAGTAAATATCAATAGTTAGTGTAATCCAAAAAAGAAATACTATCAAGAATTGAACAAGCAAGGAAAATATTTATGAGCATGAAAACATTTTTTACAAGATCAGACCTTAGTCTGCAACTTAGAATATGAATGAGTAGATATTACGTTTTTTTCTGTCTTGCTGTATGGCTGTGAAAATTGGACAATGGACCCTGAAATAGAGAAAAGAATAGATACATTTGAGATGTATATATACAGACGGATGTTGAGAATTCCATGGGTACAAAGAGTTACTAATGTTGAAGTACTTTGTCGCATGTGTAAACAAAAAGAATTACTAAGAATAATCAAAGAGAGGAAAATGTAATACTTGGGTCATGTGTCGAGAGGCGAAAAATATGAATTACTTCAAGTTATACTGGAAGGAAAAGTACAGTGCAAAAGATCAGTACAAAGATGCCAGAACTCATGGCTGAAAGACCTAAGGAGATAGTTCGATCGCTTATTCGCAGAAATCTTTTGCGCAGCAGTTTCCAAAACCACAATTGCAATTTGGATCGCCAACCTTTGAAAGGAGACGGCGACGTGAGAAGAAGAAGCCTAAATAATGAAAGCTTGTTCTTATTTCTACGATATATAAAGATGCTTTACTCTCCAAACCCTCCCACCAGTGTCCAAACCCTCCATAATTTATAAAATTGCTACAGAAAACATACCGTGTAAATATAAGCGACGATATATATAACCGTTATATAATATAACCCAAGGACGATTTCTCATGCGAACTGCAACAACTGATGTTTTATCTGGAAAGTTTTCTATCAGAAAAAGCGCTCAACATCATGGAGTTAAAAAATCAACACTAGCTTTATATGTAAACAGAGCTAGAGAAGTAGGAATTGACAATATGACATTCTCTCCACATTTTGTCAAATGTCAAGTGTGTTTTCTAATGAAATTGAACCCTCCGTTGCGTTGCACCTTAAGAGATGTTCTAATATTTACCACCGTTTAACTTTCCAAAAGCAGCTAGCAGATTAGCATACGACCTTTTGGAAATAAAAAGAATTCAAATTTCCAGAGCCTTGGAAAGTAAACAAATTAGCTGAGAAGAACTTGTTTATATAATTTTTATGTCATCAATCTGAACTATTTTATAAACATTACAAACAGCTGAGAATACAAGCTTAGCAAGAATTTCCAGTTTCAATAAATTTAGAGTCGGTAAATTTAAACGTAAGTTAAAGGAGACTTTAGAACGGCACAGCTTCACTGGATCAGATGTATTTAATTTGGATGAGACGGGCGTAACCGTAGTTCAAAAAACTCAAAAAGTAGTTGCTACTAAAGGTCAGGATCAAGTTGGTAAAGTAGTATCGCGTGTAGGAGGAGAACAGATTACTCTAGTGGGTATCCTTGGAGTAAATGGAACAGCACTTCCACCAGTGTGGATGTTACCCCACATATGTAACAAAACAATTGCAACCATTAAAGAGGTAAATGGAACAGCACTTCCACCAGTGTGGATGTTACCCCACATATGTAACAAAACAAATTGCAACCATTAAGAGGATTGTTTTGGACCATTTAAAAGGTATTTTAATCAAGACGCAGATGACTGAATGTTCTCTCATTAAGGGAAGGCATTCTCAATTTATAACCTTGCACAATATGTATGAATGCTTGGCGCTGATCTGCAACTCCTTCCAATATAAAATATGGATTTTATTGCACTGGAATTAGGGCATTGGATAAAAATATTTTTGGCGAAGAAGACTTTCTATGCTTGTTTTTAACAGACAGAATAGTTCCTTCAACATCAAAAGACCTCAATTTTTCTTCATCATTCCCATCAGTGAATTTTCGAATCAAAATGTGGAGGTGTCATCGAGATTCAGTTTCTCTGCATTGTCAGCCCGACACTCTAGTTCACGCAAAAGAAAGATTACTTATCTCCATTTCAAATAAAACCATACACGAAAGCTCCAGAAAGAAAACTAAATAGAAAAGGTCCAGTAAAAGAACAACCATAATAGCAACCGATACTTTGGAAAGCAATACAATTGCAGAAATAAAATTAAAAAACGACACACCACAAATTATTAAAAAATAGAGACGACAACGAGGGTAAAGTAATGAGCCAGTTTACTTCCTATGAAGAAGAAATGATTTACAAAAATTCATCTTTAGATTTATATTTGGAAAATGATGAAGATCGGGATGAGGCCTTACTAGACTTCGAATTGATAGTTTCGTGGTTTGTACGGTGTTTGAAAAAAAATTGGGTCGACATTAGGCCGCCAAAATTGAATAATTCATTGTAGATGGCTACAACGTCAAATTTTTGAAAATGCAAGTTGCTTACAACCGGTTTATAGTTAGTGAAGAGCCTTCAGTATTTGTAACATACGAAAAAGTGATTGTAAGGCTACCAAATCCTTTGACAGCTTAAAGTGCCAGATATAAAGACATGATATATCTTAACATTGATCTTTCCCAGTACAATTTATGTTATTAATAAATATTTTGTTTGTTTTATTGGTATCTAAAACTTTTTTGGCAAATAAAAACCTTAAGTAATATTTTTGTATCTATTCGTTTATTGTCCAGATGCTCCCGGTCAGTCGAGAAGGTTTGGACGCATATACCTCGAGTATGTATATGCGAATCTTTTATTCACATTGTTATATTTGTACACAAACTATGCAAATTAATTGTTAGGAAACATACATTAATCAGTATGATCTCAAAATTTTAGATATTTGTTATCCATGTCCACGCCATAATTTTTTAATAAATAATTGTTCAAACCCTCCCGGCGCTCCCCCATGTATGATACAGGCGTCATTATAAAAAAATGTTAACGCTAAAGAATACTGTAAGCACGGAACCATCAGCATAATGAGCCAGACTCTTAAGATATTCTTAAAAATTATACGTCAAAGGATTTATAGGATATTCAAAAAACTGGAGCAAGATATTAATAATACCCAGATTGTCTTTAGATCGCCAGAAGTTAGCGGCGAAATGTGGCTATATCGACGCATACTGAGAATACCTTAGACAGACAGAGTGACCAACACAGAGGTATTAAGACGAATGGGTAAAGAGGTGGAATTGTTAACAACTGTTAAAAGGAGGAAAGCGTCATACCTGGGCCATGTGTTCCGTAATGATAAGTACAGTCTGCTACAGCTTATCGTGGAAGGCAAGATTGAAGGTAGAAGAGGTTTGGACAGACAGAAGAAATTCTGGCTGAGAAACTTGAGAGAATGGTTTCAAATACCAGAAGCTGCGAACATAATTCATGCGGCACAAAACAGAGAAACCTATCGTATGATGGTCGCCAACCTTCGGTAGAAGACGGCACATAAAGAAGAAGATTGTCTTTAGATCTGCAATAAATTTAAAAGAGGCCTTGACTGCCTGTTTTCTTAATTACTACAAGGCATTTGACAAAAATCAACATAATAGAATCCTTCAGCTACTTTAAGATAAAAATCTGGATATGAAAGATATTAGAATACTATAAAACTTTAACTTTAATCCTGTTGCATCTGTTAAGGCTGGCAACGAACTGTTAGAAGAAATATAAATACAACGAGAGGTAAAGGCAGGAAAGCATACTTTCTTCGCTACTGTTTATTCTATATTCATAAGAGACAATTCAGAAAGCACTAAACGAAACAGCAAGCGTAATTAAAGTCAACAGAGAATCTATAGATAACATCAGAATACGCCGATGATACGTTAGTATTCGCAGATTAGTTAAAATAATTGCAGGTTCTGATAAATAAGATTGTAGATACTAGCAAAGAGGCCGAATTGGCTTTAAATAACAAAGCGACAAAATTTATGACCATTGACAAGACATAACAATAAGATATGTTATGGATTAGGGACAAACTCGTTCAAAAGGTATACAAATATACATACTTAGAAACAGTCGTTTGACACAAATGTCTCAATATTGACAGAACTCGACATCATTACTACGCTTACCACCATCATCAACCAAAATATATTGAGGTTCTTTGAACACATTACCAGACGAATGGAAGACATGAAGAGGTTGCGGGTTGAAGGCAAGGTAGATGGTAAAAGAACTCAAGGAAGATCGCCACTCCGATGGTCAGACCAAATAAAGTGCGCTTTCGGTTACTCTCTGTCTAAGGCTAAACACCTCGACCAGGAGAGAGAAGAATGGATAGCAACCATTCGTGAAATACCATAACGTCACCACATCCTTACGAAGGATAAAAGATAGAGGAGGAGGAATTTACTATGCATCCTCAGGTTAACGGTACATGGCAAACTAATTCCTAATAATTATTAACTATTTCTCTACCTAATTTGCAATTGATTTACACAGGCAACATATTCAAATTGTAAAAAAAAATCTTTGCAGCAATGATCTGAGTCTAGAACTCAAAGTGCGAATACTAAGATGTTATGTATATATTGTACCATTATATGGAATGAAGGCTTGGACGCTAAAAAATGTAAAAGTTAGAGAATAGAATTGTTTTAGATGTAGGCTTATATAAGAATTTAAAATCAGTTGCAATCAGCAGTAATCAGTTGTGACAACAAGGTTACAAACGACGAGGTTTTAAAAATTAGTGCAACCAAAGCAATTAGCTGGATATCGAAGTAAAAAATATGGATATCAAATAAGAAAAAAAAGCTTAATATACAAAAAGTACAAACGAAAAACATAACGTAAAGGCATCTAAAGACCGCCACCTTCAAATTTAATAAAGCATCAAGATTTAACTATTTGGGAGTGACCATGAAAAAAAATGCCACAAAAAGGCTTCAAAATAGGAATTTTAAGGGAAAACCAAGCCTTCGGAAAAAACGAAAAGATGGTAAAACAGAAATATTATCAAAAAGACAAAAATCAAAATATACAAAACACTGATACACAGAACTCTAGAACCTCACGCCACCACATAAGCAAAAATACGTTCAAAAAGAAAGAAATGTATAGAAAAAGTTAAAAAGGAACCAAAAATGAAGTAAATGTAATTAAGTCACAATGCCTGAAATAAATAGTACCATGTCAGAAGAAGACTGGCACATGAGATAATCAAAAAGTTATCTCAATCTAACGAAGAAGCCAATGAAGAAGGAGATCAAAGGAACCGAAAAATAAGATATAAATATATCGACTAATACATATCGAAACAAATATTATTTCTAATTAAAATTTAAAACACACAGTATGGTGGAGATATGTAGATGATGTATTTTCCTGACCTACATTCTAAAGTTGATTTCATGTATTCGAATGAACTATTTTACAATAAAGTCGTCCCAGGAACGCAGTTCAGTAATATTGACAATATCGTTTTAAAGTAGACAACTTTAATTTTAATATATATCTAAATTAACAATATGAATAAGTCAGATAAAATTAAATTATTGAAAGAACTTTTCACCAAGTAATAAAAAACAATTTTTTTTTAATTTATACAAATATTCTGTATTTTAAGAAAGATTTACGAAGTAAAAATTAAAACGTCAAAAATAAACTTATTTGAAACTTAACTTATGGCTTACTCTTAACTATGATGAAATACTGGTAAAAAGTAATAGATTTAAGTACCTCAGATAGGTATTATAACGAAATGGGGAAATAGATGGAGATGCGTGTAGTTGAATTAGAGTTGGATGCATTGAGTGAAAGGAAGCGATTGATGTGTTTGTGTAGAAAATTTAAAAGCTGAGTGAAGTTATGATACAGACATGACCAGCTAATGTGTGTAGTTAAATGAAAGACGATTAGAATGCATGCGGCGAATGAAATGCTTAGATGTATGAGTGAAGCGACAAAAAAGGATACAATAAAGAATGAATATATTAGGGATATCAAGAGTTAGTACCAATCGATGCTAATGGTCAAACTTGTATGTCATGTTAGAAGTAATCATTTAATACGAAAAATTGCGTATCTAAAGGTTTGTTGCAGGAGAGGAAGACCAAAGAACAACTGGGAGGAGACGCTTGAGCAGGACATGCCGCTAAAGTGGATTGATAATAATAGAACCCAAGATAGAAACATATGGATAAATGTAATTAGAGAAGTTGACCCCGCATGATGATGAAATTAATTTTTAGACGTAGTTGATTCTTAATAAGATAGTAGATAAAATAAAACCTAATACTAAGAAATATAAATATTAATAAAATTTTAAACAAATTATTTTTACCTTGATCTATCATTCCTCTGAAATTATCTAGAAAACCATGGGAGAGTTGGGAATATTTTTCTGACTCCTTATTTTTAAAACCATAAAATACTCCATGATATTGTCCATATATATTAGCAATTGCTTCGTATACATTCCACTTAAAAGGTATCGCAAAAGAATGAATTTCGTAGCCTTGAATCTTTAAGTTGTCGAATACAAGTTTTTCTAGTCCTGGTTCTAATGAAGTAGCGTAACAAACTGGTATATTTTCCATCACCGTAACTTCTGGATAAGCCTTAAGATATTCCTTTATAACTGGAACAACTTTATTATAGAAATATATTTCGTTGATGTATGGTGCTGACATGACTTTGGTGATAGCTTCGGATGCACATTTTAGGACCTGCTTAACAGCAAGATGCCGATCTTCACCGGTATTTTTGTTTCTCACCGATATAAAAACTACTTTTCCTAAATGGCCCTGGCCCTTGTCGTTTTCTGCGTTCTTGGTAACTTCATAATTTTCCAATTTTCCTCCTAGAGCTTTTTCCAATAAGCCACTGATTACGTTGATGTCCATGTTGAATATGCGGTTTAATTAAACGGGTCACACGCACTACTGGCAGTTAATACTTAATCACCTGTTTATATATGCTCCAATATTTCATATTATTAATTACTCGATAATTGAAGAAAACCGCTTTAGCGTTAATACAGGCAAATTTATTCTTAAATTTGTTATGTTATTTTATTTGTTCAAATACAAATCTATTCTATATATATATATATATATATATATTATATATATATATATATATATATATATATTATATATATATATTCTTAGAAAGGGCTTTAGTGACTATGTGAGTAATATATTCGGATATCTTGGGTTTAGTAGTCAATATTGGCCTTTAAGTAAAACTCTTTTAGGTTTGTTAAGCTTTCGAGTTTATTGTACTCTTTTTCAAAACGTACTAAAAATTAACATAAAAAATTACATTAGAAAAATGAAGTTATTATATCTTCAATAGGCTTACCCTTGTGAGGATTGTGTTTTAAAATTAGCAAAATAAATTAACATAATGACATTAAATTTGATTTACTTTTTCGTTCTGTCAAAACTTATTACTAAGGTTTCCATGTCTCTTCTATTTTTTATATTTATTTTAGGTGAGTTTGACAGAGGAAGTGTCTATGTTTATGCAAACCTTCATTGCAAATTTTGATATAATATTACAGTTATTATAAAACAATATGTAGCAACAGGTTTATTAATTACTTTTCAGCACATCATCTAAGATGAAGACTAACCTAGTATTAAATATGAAAAGTAGGGTTATAAGTTTATCACATCCTGAATATAAAACAGCCGGTCTTAAAAAACTAAAAACGATCATGTTAGAAATTCCTTCCCAGCGAAACTTCTAAATAGACTTATTTTTGGTGTCTCTCAAGTCATCAGGACAAATCAAACAGAAGTTTCAACAAACAACCAAAATACATTGTACCACTCTTTACCATATATTCCAGGTTTAACAAATAGACTACTAAATACATTTAGAGAAGTACCTAATATCAAAATTGGAACCAGAAATATAAAAACAATATCGAAATTATATACTAAACTTAAAACACCCTTAAATAATAAAGAAAGCTCCAATGTAGTGTACTCTCTACCCTGTAATAATTGTAATAGAGTATATATTGGAGAAACGTCCAGAAATTTGTCCGGAAGATTAACATCTCACAAGAGTGATATTAATCTGAATAAAGTACATGCCTGCGCATTAAGTGAACATTGTATTACAATGGGCCATACGCCTAACTATGATCAAACATAAATATTGAGAAGGGAAAGAAATTATAACAAAAGACTGTTTCTAGAAATGTGATTAATTAAAACTACACAAAACACCTTAAACAAAAGAGAAGACATTGAAAATCTTAGTGCTATATACAGTAATCTTCTTTTAAATAAAAGAATAACAATATAAAAGTTCTTAAAAGTTACGCATATTAAAGGGATTATTCCAAGTTCAAATGAGATAAAATTTATTTTTATTTGTGTTTTCTCTTTCTTAATTACTTAGTAACTTAAACTCTGTTGCTTGTTTAATAACTGTAATATTATATCAAAATTTGCAATAAAGGTTTGCATAAACATAGACATTTTCTCTGTCAAACTCACCTAAAATAAATATAAAAACATAGAAGAGACATGGAAACCTTAGTAATAAGTTTTGACAGAACGAAAAAGTAAATCAAATTTGATGTCATTATGTTATGTTATGTTACAACCCAAGATATCCGAAGATATATATATATATATATATATTATATATATATATATATATATATATTAGAATATATATATATATATAATATATATAATATATATTATATATATATATGTATATATATATAATATATATATATATTATATATAGATATATATATATATATATACTATTATATATATATGTATATATATATATATATATATATATATATATATATTATATATATATATATATATTATAGGTTATTAGGTATCGGCGTAGCTCGCAATATAAAATATAATAAAATATGTGTATATAGATGAAAGGCAACCGTATATACTTATTTCTGACTATTAATCGTCTCCAGTACGGTGCAGCCAAGTAGAAAAGGAGCCTGTTAACTAGAAAAAGGATCACTTAAGAGCAATGCAAAGAGCAATAATATTAGAAGACTCTGAGGATTCCAGAGCAATAACTACTACATCTCACGGAGCAACCTGAGGAAGAAATGTCAAACGTTTAGAACGTTTCAAACAACAAGAAAAGGTTAAGGCCAGTTAATAGCAAAATTAAGTTAGTAGGTATCAAGAAAGCTCTTGACAAAGAAAAAAAAATATAATAAAATATGTTTATAAGATGGAAGGCAACGTATGTACGTATTTCTGACGTTTGGTCGTCTTCAGTACGGTGCATTCAAGTAAGAAAAGCAGCATGTTAACTTGGAAAAGGATCACTACAGAAGCAATGCGACCAATTTGTGCCAATAATGTTGAGGAGACTCTAATAAAGATTACAAAGCAATCCTCAGGGAATAAATTTTTCAAAAGAAACAAACAAAATACAACATTTATGGAAAAATTAACAAAATGTACACTAACTAATAAAATATTTCTAATATTTAATTACATGTTCATCTTAGCGTGCCTGTGCGTTCCTAACGTCATCTGGTTATGATCACTTTTTTGATTGCTATATATAATAGCTGTGTTAGGTCTTTCTATACCATGCTCTCAGGTTAGCAGCCAGGATATTATTCTTCGTCCTGAAGTGCTTTTTCCTTTAACTTAACCTTGCAAAATGCATTGGTGTAGCTCATATCCGCCTTAATTTCTCATTATATGTTCCAAGTACTACAGCTTACTGCCTTTACGATGTTGTCCGCGTTGTTTACTGACCAAATCCGCGGTTGTTCATCCTTCGTAGTACTTATTCATTGGTCACTTTGTCTGTCCTTGGTATTTTCAGGATCCTTCTGTATAACCAGAACTCAAAAAAGTTTTGATAGAGCTTCTGCCTCAAATGTCCACGTTTCTACTCCGTACAGAAGCACTGAGTACACGTAACACTTAAGGAGCCTTATTTTTGTTTCTAGGGTGGGCTCTTGTACACAGAGCTCATAGTCAAGAATGCACTTTTTGCCTTTGTGATGCAACAATTAATCTCTTGGGTTTGTCACGACACATTGATTATAGTTTACAGTATAGTTTAGAACAAGTAGTTGTAGTGTTAGACACGTTAAATTCTTATTTGGTTCACATACAGATTTGCTCCAGTTATGTTTTCCTTGCTGATCCAGTTATCCAGTGATCCAGATATCCAGTTCATATGTTTTACTTGTTTCCATTATTTTGTTTGTTAAGTTTTGCAGCCCTTCTATGGTATTGGAAAACACTATTGTATTATCTGCATAAGAGCTTGCACATACCCTGGAGCAGATGTCCCTTCTGACCACGTACTATTAGTGGCCGTCATAAAGATCGCTCTTTCATGCAAGAACAAGCCTGAAACTCAACAACAGATAGCACTGGATAAACTGAAAGACCCAATGATACAAGCAGAAATAAGCAATGAAATAAACGCACAAATTCAAATATTGACGACAAACATTACCGAAGATCTAACACCAACATGGAATACGATTACAAGTGCTGTAACAGACATCATGAAAAACAACTTAGGGTACAAACGAAATAACAAGAGGCAAAAATGGATGACAGAAGAAATACTATTACTAATGGAAGAACGACGAAGACACAAGAATGACCAAGATGGCAGCAATATGTATGAAAACATTAACAGGCAAATAAAAGCAAAAATAAGAATAGCAAAAAATGAATGGCTTAAGCAACAATGTATCAATTTACAACAACTATAACATTTACAACGACAGCACGACGACCGTAATTTACATAAAAAGCTTAAGGAGACTGCTGGAATATACAGAAAACGAAGACCAACTACCATAGTTAATCAGGATAACCAGATAGTGCTGGGTGAAAAGGAGAAAATTGATATATGGGAAAATTATATCCAGGAGCTCTTCCATGACGAAAGACCCATGAGTGAAGTTTATACAGATGACCAGCTGACTGGCCCTTCAATCACCAAAGAGGAGATAGAAAAGGCAATATTAAATTCAAAAAACAATAAGGCACCTGGACCAGATGAGATCCCGTCAGAAATACTCAAATTACTAGATGAAAGGGAGAATTTCAGCACTACACAAAATATTTAATTTAATTTATGAAACTGGTTGCTATCCTCAACAGTGGTTACGCTCTACCTTTATTCCCCTGCCCAAGAAAGTCAATGCAAGAAGTGTGAGGATCACAGACTCATTAGCCTGATGAGTCACACTTTAAAGATATTCTTAAAAATACTACATCAAAGATTATACAAAAAATGTGAATGGGACATCAGTGATTCCCAGTTCGGGTTTAGGCAAGGTTTAGGAACACGAGAAGCAATAGTAGCAACACAGGTGCTGGTCCAAAATTGTTACGATCAGAGGAAGGATGTGTTCCTATGCTTTTTAGATTACCAAAAAGCGTTTGATTGTGTCCAACACCACAAGTTAATGCAGATTCTCAAGAAAGTTGATATAGACCAAAAAGACATAAGATGCATTGAAAACTTGTACTGGCATCAAACGGCACAGTTAAAAATAGACAATTCTATATCCAAACCCATACATATAAGAAGAGGCGTTCGACAGGGATGTGTGCTTTCCCCTCTTTTATTTAGCATTTATTCGGAAGCCATATTTCAAGAGTCTTTGGAGGATGCAGAGATGGGAATCAAGGTGAATGGAGTATTGATCAACAACATACGATATGCTGATGATGGTGTCTTAATTTGTGACAACATAGTCGATCTTCAACAACTTGTCACTATAATCGGAGAATACAGTAAGCGAATGGGATTAGAGATTAATACTAAAAAGACCAAATTCATGATCATCTCCAGAAACTTGGATGCACTTGAAAACTCCACCATAACACTGAATACTAAGTCCATTGAAAGAGTGAGTAAATTTAAATACCTGGGATCGTGGCTTTT